ACTGGTTGATTGCGCGCCCCTGTTTGTATTGTACAAACAGGGTCGCACAGGTCAGGCTGCATATGAAGAGTATCGGGCTCCAACAGTCGCCTTGTCTTAAGCCACGGTCAAGAGGAATAATTCGCTCCTTTGAGCTTATCCGGATGCTTGCTTTAGCTGACTCGTAACAATTACGGACAATCCGAACGTATTTCGGATCTACACCAGCCATCCTTAATGATTCATATACATGCGACCTGGATATTCGATCAAATTTGTATTGCATGTACTATTTCCAGGCCAGACCGTCTGGCCCTAAAGGCCGTGTGTGATGCGTCGACCGAACTGTCCACTTGAACATATATTCTGGCCATAACGATCAAGCTGAATATTTCAGCGATGGCGCTCTGGGACAATACTGTACAATAGCTCTTGCAATTCTCTCTGGATCCGCTTTTGCAGATGGGAGTTACCTTCGAGGTGTTCCAATTGTCTGGTAGGCGTTCTGTTTCAAAGCATATCGAGCATACTTTATGCACCCATTTTGCTATTGCTTTCCCACTTTTGTGCAACACTGCTGGGATACCAACCAATCCACAGCTTTTCTTCGATTCCAGCCGCTCTATAGCCAGTATAACTCCATCTAGTTGTATTCCAACGGGGTCGTTCATGACACTGTACGCGGTTTCGTCTCTGCACTTATATTTGGTTTGTGGCTGACAGGCATCACTACCGTGGAGTTCGTTCGTCATGTAATCGGCAAGTTTATCAGCTGTGAGGAGTTTGGTACTTTATGGTCCCGCCTTCCTCAGCGTTTCTTGGAGCACATTCCATATTGCCTTCTAGTTGTTCAGATGGAGCTCTGTCATCCTCTCTAATACTTTTCGGCATCTTGGGTTTGTGATTAGCTTCTGTTCTTTTTCCCTGTCCGGGATTTCTTTGCGTCATCTTGTAGAGTTGTTTAAGTGCAAAACCGTGCGGCCCTGACTAGCTTGTGATCAGTCTTGTAGCGAAACTCCCGCTCGGTAACACAACTGTCCCATCTCCTCCGACAGCCCACGTTGATATAGCACAATCGCTGTTCCCATATGAGGAAATCCCTCATGAAGGGATTGGACGATCGATTTCCGCTATTGTGTCGCTCTGTCTCTTTAACTTCTCTCACTAATCTTCTACTAACTACTACCTCCACTTCAACCCTATGTCTAGCACTCAGTCGTCAATTAACGGGGAAGGAGCTGCGACCATTACTACAGTCTCAATTGGATCCGGATTTGCTACTCCCATAGCCTCCAGCATGTTTATGTAACATTGCCTTATCAAGATGAGGTCTAATACGTTGCCGCTAAGTTGTTTGTTTGGATGTATCCATGTCGGTCTGTTTGCCAGATGCTTAAACTTATCACACTGTCCGATGTATATATCATAATGATATATACATATCACTACAGAAAATAGTCGAGATGAATGATATTATCATTCATCTCGACTATTTTCTGTAGTAGTTCATAATTGTATCCAGAACAATCCTGAATCTTACCATTTCTCGCTCAACATAAATGTGTAACGTTCCATGTATGTGATACAAGCACTGTTACGTTGAGTTATCGAATCCGATATTTTTGTGACGTGAGCCTGGTGTCCGAAACATCGAGCTTCTCTGATTTGATGGGCAACGAGAGAGGAGAGCGTCGCAAGCGCGTAGGGAAGGAAAAACCACTATCACTATCACTATCATTATCTTCATCACAATCATAGAAAGAAGACCATGAGGCTACCAGAGCGGAGTTGCAGAGACTTCAGGGAGAAATTTCTCGGTTGTAATGGGACATTGGAATGGAACTTGGAAGTGTCTCAATCTCATTAGGGATGTTAATAAACTTCGACTGTAATTATTTCCGGAATGGGTTACATATCCGACGGACATGTAATCTATTCTGTCAGTACTCTATATAATATAGACTCTATATTATAGAGTATGGTTGTTTCAGGTGGCTAAATTTTACATCCGGGACTCGTCTGCTGTGTCAGTGGAGAGCGCAACAGATCACCCCGCTGAGACTGAGTCTGATCACTTGCAATCCCCACCTACAGCAACTCGCGAGACGTCTTTCTTCGCGGAGCCCAAGTCTCAAGCCGCGTTCAAGGTTGCTATTCAATCGAAATCACTGCCGAAGTCGAAGGCGAGGGCCAGGGCCAAGGCCAAGTCGGCTGGGTTGAGTCCCCCCACGCCTGGAAGGAGGTCTAATCGATTAAAGGTAGTCTCTCAGTGAGTCTACGTTCGTGTTGATTGATTAGAAACTCTATCATCGCTTCAGCTATCTTAGGGTCGTACCTCTCTGTCATCCTCGCCCTCATCGTGTAGCAAGTGACCTTTGGAGGACCAGAAAACATCTCCGAATCCGGTATGTTAGCCATGATGGTATGTAGGGTCTTAATGATTATATATTTATTGAATGTGGACTCGCTCTGGGGAAGATAGCAGTGATTATGTCAACAAGATTGTTTCTGAAACTTTCCTGTCTTGTCATGCATGCAGGCATGGTGAACTTTTGCAGGGGATTGCCGACAGACGACGAAGCAAACAGTGACGAAGCAACCTCGGTGAGAGCAAGCTGCTCGTCGATGCAATTCCGGAATGAATCCATTCCGAGCGTCGCTTGGCAGAATAAATGGAACATAAGTCCTTGTTCATCCGAAGAGCGAAGTAAGGAGTACAGGAGGAATCATCTGTAGAATGAGTATTCTGTACACCTCAAGGAAGCTCTCCGGTTTAATCTGACCAGTGGCTGATCACTGGTGATTTGTGTGAGTTGGATCCCAAAGTCTGCAGATTGTGACCTGTGTATGATAGTGTAACTCTCAATACTGTGATAACGGATATCAATACTGTTTCATGTCAACTGCCATTCCTGATGGAACATCCCGTGGTGAAATGAATGTAAAAAAAGCTCCATGATATGTGTCGAACTGTTCAGCTCCGAGTTGATTGAGGGATATACCAGGTGTCGCGGCTTCGAAGGACGGAGCACGCATGATCCTTGATTATGCTCCCTTTGGCAACGAAAACATGTAGTAGACGCGGTATGTAACAGACTTCATTTTAGCGGCGAAGCTACAATACGTACTTTTCATACCAAGCACATTGCGCTTGGTACTGCTCTCACAGTCCCTGCTTGGAATGAACCAATTTCGCATGATTCGCACACCGAGATTGCAGCTTGGCGGAATTCTTGGTCAGTTCAATGTGAGATGTAGTAGGACTCTCATTCGGTAGGGGGAACGAGGAACTCCCTTCACTAATACGGCCAACTAGTGTTGAAGTTCTTATCATCCCTCCTTGTCGAAGTTGAAGTTCCTAAAAGAGTCTCTTTAATTCTATTTCACCCGCCCGTCCAAATAAGAATTACGATTTTTGGAACAGGCGCTGAAAAAGTGTAGAAGCTATGGATACTCGATCCGTTATCGCACAAGATAAACATGATTCCTATAATATTTGGACGCACTGGTGCAACACAATAATGAAAGATGGGAGGGTCAATGGATGATTGAAAAACTAATGACTGATTGCTGTGTGAAATAATCAATTCGCGCATGTGCCGATACGCATTCCTATAGTCTATTTTATCTTACCTTCAAAAATTGTTTCTACTTGAGTTCACTAATACCTATCTTACTATTCTTCCAATCATACAAGAAATAACGTCCCATGACGCTAGGGTGACCAATACCCCATACATCATCATCAGACACTTCAAGAAGTATGCGACAAAAAGTTTGCTTTTTGGCATCCGTTCTAATATCCACATATGCATCTGGGGGGATCTTCACCTCAACGTTCGAACCATCAACACCCTTTAAAAGGAAGTTCACCGAAGGAAGGTTTTGCCGTTGATTACAATTGACGATAAGCTTAGAACCCTCTTGGGTAATCGTCACCTTACTGCTTGATCGAGCCTCAAGATCTTTTATGAGGGTAGGAAGCGCATACCTACGAATAGGGATGAATATGAACTCTGCTCCAGTATCAAGGTCACCAAAATCGTTCACAACCATTACAGGATACGTTGGACCTCCAAGGGAGAAGCCAGTGACCCGAACAAACCTGGGCTGAATAACCGATACATAGACCAACGGACCTCGATAAATACTAGGATCTGATCCACCGAGAA